GGGGGGGGGGGGAATTTCAACAAAGAGCAAATTGAAATTAATAATTTTGTTGAGCCTTTCCCTGGCCCAGATAATAGGGGCCTTATGCGTTTTCCACATTCCAGACCACAGATCAGCCTCCCCCAACCTGGGCCCTTTCAACTACAAGTCCCATCAGCCCCAGCCAGAACAATCAATACTCAAGGATGAGTTGAGCTGTAGTCCAGACACCTGGTGGGGACCAGCCTGTAGAAGGATGACATTGGTAACATCTCAGATGAAGCCCAATAAACCAGAGATCTTGAACTCTAAGACCTCCATGGTTCCTTCCAAATGTACGGCAATTCTATGATTCTGTGATCTCACATTATATGGCAACACACACACACTCACACCCCAGAAAGAAATATATATATCATGTATTTGGTTGAGCACAAGCAACATCTCTTCGCCCCACCTTACCTTCTGCACACCGGCAAACATCCCCATGGCATATCTTACTGAGCATGGCACTTCCTTTGGCTAGATGGTAGAATTTGGTGCACTGCTCATCTGAAGAGAGGAAAGAAAAGTTTCATTTCTCATGAACGTTGACAAGTCTGCACAGGCTGCAGGTTTCATATGTTGGTAGGAAATCTCAAAAGGAAAACCCGTGAAAGGGCACAAAGTAAGGCAGATGGACCATTTATCCCAGGAAAATATTAGAAACACATCCAGCTGACTTTGTGTAACCAAAGGGCCGCCAGCTAGCTGAACAAGGGTCTTTAACCAGACACTCAAAGGGAGAGTGGGTGTCCCATGATCAGCTGCCAGAGGGATGGCTGGTTTCTCTCTTCTCTATGCTAGAGAGTTGGGGAAGCCAGGGATCAAGTCCTTCTGGTCTAATTCCCTGCTCTTGGGTGAAAATTACACCTGGGTGGGTTAGGGCAAAACAGCCTAGAATCTGAAGGCTGTTTTGAAACTGGGGCAGAGTTGGTCCCTCATCCCTTCTGATATGATTCCCTCCTCAGCTCTGTACTCGTAACAGAAAGCAAAAACTAGTGCTTGGAGGTTCAGTAAATTTCTGCATCATCCTAACTGATCTTTTCAGTATTTGAGCAGTATTGTAGAGATTTCACAAGAGTCTTTACCTAGATTATAATAGCTGTACACCTTGACTGATCCTGGCTGTACATGGTGTGAACTACGATTCCCATCAGTCCCCGCGAGCAAAACCAATAGGACGGGGGGGGAGCAACTCGGGAAGACACACTGGCCTGCATTATACTTGAACTGGGGGAGACTGATATAGGCCGGAATGGCTTTGCTCACTTTTGAACCGGGGCAATAGGCCACCAAGCTCAGCCTTGTCTCACCGGTAGCCAAGCATGGGAATACAACCCAAGTACTGTACCAGTCTAGTGAGAGGCGGATTCCTGGGGAAGACATCATTTTCTGCTGTTACTTTTGGCTTTATTTTTCAAATCATACAGCAGTTCATTTTCCTCGTCTCTGCCTTCATTCCACTCCCTCTCTCCATGTGTCTTTGGGCCAGAGACTCACTTATTTAGAAGAACAGAGTGTACTTTTTCTTAGTCGACAAGACATTTATGCAAACATGGGGAGGAGGGCAGTATATAGATATGTGACATCTAATGGGGGGGCAAACATCTAATTTTTGGGGGGGACTTCACATATCGGAATTACACCACTCCTTCCTCTAGTTTACTGTTGTCTGTAAGGCATCATATGTGCTTAAGCACACTCAAAATCGCTGTTGATTTTGCTCCTGTTCTCTATCCAAAGTCCTAAGGATTAAATACTGTATAGACATTAAACAATTTAAGACAGCATAAAACAGTTTGACAAGGTAGAGCAATAATATATTGGGTAATAGCAAAGAATTATAAGGAATAGGTGAAAATGTTCCTCCGTTTTATGCACAATCTAGTGAAATGCACATTATGAGACAGAGAGATTATGCCTTCCTGAGGGCCACCCACTTCATGGTCGAACATAAATTTGAACCTTACTGCAACTTTACACAATATGACTGCAGTCATAAATAGTCTTTCTGTGAAGTAAGCCGGGCTGCCTGTGAGATTCAGTTTCAGGGTAATCGTGCACAGAATTCCATTTCACATCCCAATGAAATCGGTGGATCTTACTTTCCTAACAGCAGAATCTTCTCCATGTCTACTCAGAAGTAAGCCCTACTGGATTTCATGTGGCTTATTTTCAAGGAAATATAACAGTTTTGGCGCACCCACAAACTCTGTACTCCATGTTTTCCTACTCCCAGATGCAATCCCACTGTTGTTCACACCATGACATTGTCGATTGTGTAGGAATCCCCCCCAAAAGAAAGTACAGTGGACCCTCGACTTACAGACGTCTCGATTTACAGACTTTTCGAGTTACAGAGTTCTCTGGCCGCAGAATTTAGATTCGACTTGCAGCTGGAGAATCGACTTACAGACCAGAAAAAAACCAAAACGGAACAAAAATAGAATAAAAACTGCCAGTTATGGGATTAATCGGTTTTCAATGCATTGTAGGTCAATGGAGATTCGACCTACAGATTTTTCGACTTGCAGCCACCGTTCCAATACGGATTAATTCCGTAAGTAGAGGGTCCACTGTATTTGTAAAATGAAGTAAAAAAACCTGGGTCTGGAGGCTCAGTAAATTTCTGCAACATCTTACCTAACTAGTATTTCAGTATTTGAGCAGCATTGTAGAGATTTCACAAGAGTCTTTACCTAGATTATAATAGCTGTACACCTTGACTGATCCTGGCTGTACGAGACCAACTTCATAATACTTGAAAGCTTTAAACTGTATGCATTCATCTTCCATGTGGGAGACCTGTGAAGATCAGAGAAAAGAGAAAATAAGTCTTTGACCTCCAGACCTCCAGTGGAGAGAGTCTTTCCTTCCTCTGAGCGATCTTAAGGAAATCCTTCCATTCTACAAAAGCTCAGCCTGAAATGCATTTGCCAGTCTCAAAGATGCCACAAGAGTTTTATCTTGTTTTTATTGTTTCAGAAACACAATGACTTTCTCTCTGGAGAAGCTGTTCAAAGGGATCCAGTGTTCATGACGTTTAAGGGCATAACAGGAATGTCATAGTTTGTCCGTCAAGCCTCACTGACAAGCTGTTACACTTACAGAGGCACATTCCAGTCATATGTTGTATCTACCACAAGCTTGAAAAATTCTACATTTGTCCATCCCCAATCAGGTCTCACTACTAAAGCAGGGGATAATGTACACTATTGAAAAGCAATCACTGAATGGTAATGCAGTAATTTCCCCTTCTGAACTGAGACCAGGCTTTAATTTAATCTAGGTTGCTGATAGTCACACATCAAGCTGAGACCAAGTTGGTAAAGGTGAAGAGAAACTATGTGAAGGAGGAAATGGGGCATGATGAAGGTCTTTATAATTCCCAGGCCACCTCCTCATTTAATTATTTATTTATTATATATTTGACCCAACTCCGGGAGGCAGTGGAAGACAGGAGAGTCTGGCGTGCTCTGGTCCATGGGGTCACGAAGAGTCGGACACAACTTAACGACTAAACGATTGTTGTATATGCAAACTGGGTCTGAGAGGATTCTTATAATTTTTAGAGTTCAAAGGAAAGGAATGGTCCACCAGCCATGGCTTCTCTCTTCTGTGCTGTTCTATAATGCTAAAAATCAGAGTGTAACTGTCATGAAGATCACTATCTCAAACACACACTCTGAGAAAAGTGTGTCCAATCCCAGGCTTTAAGCCAATTTTACAAAGAAAAGCATAGTGAAACATAATGCTATCAATTTATATAAGGCTTAAAGCAGAGACATAGAAAAATATGTCTTGGGTAACTCAAAAAAAGAAAATGCTTTCTTAACAAATAAGCATTCGTTGCACCTTCTTCAGTTCACAGATACCCTTGCCTCAAATGCACACTAGGGACTCCCTGACTCTGAAACCAGGCCAACTAATTCCTGTTCATACTGCTCAACCTTCCTTGCATCCATGATAGTGGTAGTGCCTCCTGGTGTTCACAGAACAGGGGGCTGAAACTAGTGTCAAAAGAGTCAGAGCTTTCCAGGAGGATTTACTTGACCACAAGGTGGCATCATTTGTTTGGTTTTTTTGTCACGATTTGCTCTCCTTTGCTCCAGTGCAGGATCTGCTCATGTAGATCCTAGGTCCTAGTATGTGTTGTTCTGTGCTGATCCGTGCACTTTTGGGATGTGTGTATTATGTTATGTTTTCCTGTGGGTGTTTTTCTGCTGATCAATACCCGCCCCTCCACACACCATGGGAAGGTAAAAGAAGGGAGGAGTGAATTAAGGTGGGGAAAGACTAAAAAAGATAGACAAAAAGGGAAGGCAATCTGTGCTGTGAGTGAGATATCAGGGAGCAATTCTGGATGTGTGCAGACAGCCGAGATTAAGATGTCCCAGTGCATCCCAATGCACCCAGCAGCAAAGTCGTCATGAAGATCACTATCTCAAACACACACTCTGAGAAAAGTGTGTCCAATCCCAGGCTTTAAGCCAATTTTACAAAGAAAAGCATAGTGAAACATAATGCTATCAATTTATATAAGGCTTAAAGCAGAGACATAGAAAAATATGTCTTGGGTAACTCAAAAAAAGAAAATGCTTTCTTAACAAATAAGCATTCGTTGCACCTTCTTCAGTTCACAGATACCCTTGCCTCAAATGCACACTAGGGACTCCCTGACTCTGAAACCAGGCCAACTAATTCCTGTTCATACTGCTCAACCTTCCTTGCATCCATGATAGTGGTAGTGCCTCCTGGTGTTCACAGAACAGGGGGCTGAAACTAGTGTCAAAAGAGTCAGAGCTTTCCAGGAGGATTTACTTGACCACAAGGTGGCATCATTTGTTTGGTTTTTTTGTCACGATTTGCTCTCCTTTGCTCCAGTGCAGGATCTGCTCATGTAGATCCTAGGTCCTAGTATGTGTTGTTCTGTGCTGATCCGTGCACTTTTGGGATGTGTGTTTTTGATTATGTTTTCCTGTGGGTGTTTTTCTGCTGATCAATACCCGCCCCTCCACACACCATGGGAAGGTACAAGAAGGGAGGAGTGAATTAAGGTGGGGAAAGACTAAAAAAGATAGACAAAAAGGGAAGGCAATCTGTGCTGTGAGTGAGATATCAGGGAGCAATTCTGGATGTGTGCAGACAGCCGAGATTAAGATGTCCCAGTGCATCCCAATGCACCCAGCTTCCCTGTGTGTGGATGCAAATGTTGGGTTGGTCTCTTCAAATCTTAAATACAAAAAATACTAGAGGAACCCAGAATAGATGCAACTGTGTGAGCAAGCACAAGAGACCCCTCTAAAACCCTCTTACCTTGTCCAAGTAAATGATGAGGTTCCCTCTTTCAGTCATAACTTTGTCAACTTCAAACTTGGAGATGTATCTGTCAACTCCCTCAGAAAGCTGAAACGTTGAAAGGAAATAAGAAGCGGGTTAGTTGTCTTTACATTTTTGTCTGCACTGCAGTCCAAAGCCCCTTGGGAGGCACCTGCTCAAGGCTGTGCCTCACAGGGACTTCAAAAGAGTCAGAAAGACATTTTATAACATCGGGTGCATTTGTCAGGAGAGTTGTACATGTGACCTGGCGTCAACCACATTCTTACTAAGGTGTTACTACACAGTGAGGGAAATGTGAATTAACTCACATTCACTTGCTGTGAAGTCACACTAGAGAATTTGGACAGTCTCCGTGCAGAAACTGCCTGCACAGAAAAAAGGAAAAAGCCTCATTTTTTTGCTGTTTGCTTAAATTTCTGGTTACAGTGGTACAGGTGGAGCTGTTGCAAAGAACTGCCTGGTAAACAGTAAAAAAGGCTTCCTACTTTTATTTCTTCACATAGTTATTTCATTAACTCACCTCCTAAGCTCTATATAGAAATTAAAATGAGGACTGGTAAGAAACCAGTCCAAAGGTTAGTCTAAATTAGAGATGGAGATATTTATATATGAATAGCCCTGCACAGGTGGATGTAATGAGGGTAGATCCCTGTGGGGCCAGACTGTCCACTCACAAGTCCGCCCGTTCTCCCTTCCAATCTCTCTGGAGCTCCTGGTAGGCTATCCACTCCTGGCAAAAGGAAGGAAGACGAATCTCCCTGACAGGCTGACGAGTGGATAGCTGACCGGGAACTCCAGAGCAATTGGAAAGGAGAGTGGAGACGGCGACGGATGCATGAGTGGATTACATCCAGCTCTGCAGGGGTATTCAGATTCGTATACGAATACCCCCATCTCTAGTCCAAATTAAAATCAGTTTTGGATGGTAAAACAAATTGTATAAATCCCAGTGATTCAGTAAGTGTATTATAAATGAGACTAGCAACTGTATTTAGGCCAATGATTCAACTTTAACCTGCAAATTTTAATCTGTAAGGCAAAAAATTGAAATGTAACCTATAATTAGAGCAAACTGTGTTTATTCCCTGTTCCGCATCTTCACTGACTCTTTTTTTCTCCCTGAAGGCCATTTTTCACTATAAGCTCCTTGAGGCATGGGCCTCTTTATTTTTGCCTGCAGAAGCAAGCTGCCATGTATAAGAGATAGTAAAAGATGCCAACAGTAAATAAATGGCTGAAAACAGCCATTCTTTTTGGCATCCAGCCCAGTAAGCATGAATGTCACAGAAGGAGAACGAGTGGTTTTCACAATTAATCCTTTTTCCGTTTTGTATGAAAATCTAATTCTCAGGTCCAAAGCTTTTTCATTGATCACAGAGAAATTTCTAGCCCAAATTCTCAAGAAAGAATTTCAGTAGAATCCAGCATGACCTACCCTCTTAAGGTCATCCATATCAGGGGAAAAACCAGTAAGCATAGAAACATCAATGATTGTCATCGTGGCATCAACCTCACCAAGATACCTAAAATCAGGGACAAAGCGAAAACGTGGCAAAAGAAGCAGGTTAGGAATGGATTCTGCTTTAGTTTTCTCAATATGCTTCTCTGTGTTTTCAAAGTGCTTTAGCTTCAAAGGTGAAAAGTGAGATCTAGGATCCTATCAGCAAATGGTATCGTTAGGACATTTTATCCTAATCCCTAGACCAATTCTGTATATATTTACAAGACATTTGTGGATCAAAGTGAAAAGATGCCGTTTGGGGACAGGTATGTGTTTGTTTTTTTCAGGTTGACAGCTTGCCCTGGCACTAAGGTATAGGGAGAGCCTGGCTGATGAGCCAAGCTGAAGGGCCAACATATAGTTTTCTTTTCTGTAGGTGTGTAATGCAAAAAAGGATATCCAGCATCACATGGCAAAAAAAAAAAAAGAACCTTGTGGCAGCTAAAAATCCCTCCTTCACTTTCACCCTTAATTAGTATGCATGTTGCAGATAAGCATCTTCTAGACCGAGGTGTGGGGGCAGGTAGTCCTACAGTTGTTATTGAACTGCTGTTCTTCTGGCCTCAGCCAGTATAGCTAATGATAAGGAGTGATGAGAACTGTAGTCAATTCTAGAGCAGGGAGGGAAACATGTGGACTTGAGACTTACGTCTAGTTAAAATAGATCTAAAGCTTTCCTTCCCCACAAAAGGAGCCCCAAAACCCAGCAAATGAGAGAATGCCCCCCCTAAAAGGATGAAGATGATTGTTTACCAGCTTCCAAGGAAAACTGTGCTCTTTGAATATTGTCCTTGGTTTCTGCCAGTGTACTGTGAGAGTAGAATAAACTCAACTGACCTGCAATTCTGACCTGCACTACACTTGATCTTAGCCAAAAGGCAAATCAGAGTTAAAGTATCTCAAACTTATAAAAGCAGAGAAATCTTACGGAAATATTCAGTAGGTTCTTGCAAAGGAAGCATTAATGTTTCTTCTAGTTATAGCTCTGAATCCCTTCCATATTAACCCAGGTTTATCTCTTAAACCATCACAAAAACAGCAATAAGGTTCACATCATAAACGTCAACTAAAATCATAATATTAAATGTTATGGGGGACACAAAAGGAGCCTCCTTGAAACATGGTAAACTATTGTGAGTACACTAGGCAACAGTGTGCAGCTGGCAAATCCTTTACTTCCAGATGTGTTGCACTAGAACAGCATCAAAACCACTTTCATAGATGCTGAACCCTTGGACAATGACTGATGTCGAGGAAAGGCTTCTGCATACATGTGAAGCTCTGACCACTTCTGGTCAAGAATAGTCTGTCTTGACATTTTAATTGGGTTTTTATTTTGCCAATGTTTCATGTACATACATGGTTTTAATTGCATAACACTTTGAAACAAATGAATTAAAATATTAAATGTTATCAAAGGAATTATGAATTGCCATCTGAATGGAGAGTCAACAGTTAACTTGCAAAATGTTGACACCTGTCCTGGGTACAAACAAATCACCAGGACACTTTTTAAAAAGTTTTTTTTTATTACCGACACTCTTTTTGGCTAAGAATGGGAGTGTTTTGAGTCTACAGAAGAAGAGTTAGTGGCTTACTGCACTTCATTTTGTCTTTGCTACCTGGTTTTGTGAATGGCTCTCAGTTTCTCCAACTCATATTATCTCTATTCAGCTGAAATTCATGGTCATGTTGTGTTTTGTAATTGTGTTGCCCTTTGGATGTGTATTTATATACTACAGTTTGAGTACTTGTTTTTAACTTCTGTGCTTTAAAAATGCTTCATATTTAATACTATGCTTTGAGCTGGTATTTAGGATATCTGATCTCAACCTATTTTCATATGAGCTTGTTGTAAAAGCTCAACATTCCTACCTGGTGCAGATTTTGATTCTGATAGCCCCTAAGCTCCCCTTGAGCTGCTTCTCACCTAGAAGTTACAACACAAGGAGAGAAAAAAAAAGTAATGACTTTGTACAACTTCCATGCATCTGCAATTATACTGGGTAAAAATGTGATCACTCAGTACAAAAGGACATGTGAATCAGCTTGCAGTCCCCCTACCCCCAGCAAAAGCCACTATTCTCTCTCTCTCTCTCTCTCTCTCACACTCACTCACTCACTCACACACACACACACACACACTCACTCACTCACTCACTCAACACCTATTTTTAAAAAAGTCTTTACGTAGGACCCATACCCTCCTTTTATTTATTTATTTATTTATTTGATCTCTCCCCCACCCCACCCCCTTTTCATTTCTTTTGCTGTTTTATTTTTATTTTTTTTAGCCAAGCTTATTCTATTTATTTATTTATTTATTTATTATTTCCCTGTATATGCCTTTCTTCTACGTGGGCCCCATGGAAATCTGGAGCAGGCCTGATGTCTACATCTCTTATCTAAGCAGCAAATAAGCAGATCTGAATCTAAAACTGGTTTTAAGCTTGGAAGAAGCTGCTAGGTACACATCAAGGAGTCTGACATTCTGGGTACCTAGCTATGTTTTGTAAGCTGGCTTGTTAATCCAGCTAAAGTTTCTTTGTTGTTTGACTTTCAACACAAGCAGGGTGCTTCAGAAAAATTTGAGAGAGACCCACGTTCAAAAACTCCATTCAGCTTTGAAGCTTACTGGGTGCTCTTGAACAAGTGGCCATTTGTCAGCTTAGCCTCTCTCTCTCATTCACTATGTGGAAAACAAGGAGAAGGAAGAACCATATCTCATACCTGAGCTCTTTTGAGGAAAATATGATGGACATATAATACTATACTAATGAATGAATAAATATCCTGAATTACAGTCTGAAGAGAGCCATGATGGGCATGAGTATAGAACTAAAACAAGCATCAACAACACCCACAGACCTCCAGATAATTTGTCACATGAGTTGATGCAGTTCTGCATGGTGGAAAGAGCTTGGAAAAGTACTTTTTGCATGACTATTCCAGCCCCCCAGCCATCAGCAGAGCCACATTTCCTGGGCAGCTACTGTGTCGAGCCTAGCGGACACTTACAAGGCATCACATCCTTTGCATTCTATTTCCTGTGCTATCCCATGAAGAAAAAGATATATGGGTATTTACACATTTGGAATTAAACCTCGCACTGCCCTTCTTTCTAGCCATCTCCTAGCTTCCTCCTTTGTTTCCTGAGCCTTTTAACCATTCCTTTCTCCTCTGTTTCTGCCCATTCTGGACTAGCTTTTAAAAAGTGAGTTTGCACCATTGTTCCAACATAGCTGTTCACCTAGCTAATTTCATTCATTCATTTATTTAAGAAGAAAATAAGCAAAACCACTCCATGAGAGGATCTCACGATGCCCTTCCTTTTTCATTATTATACTGGGTTTTTTATATCCTAGCCCACAAAATTTTCTTATCTCTGAAGGAAATATATGAAATAAAAAGTATCAGGAATATTCATGTGTAGATGCCTCTTGTCGTGTGCACATATCTCATGCAGATCCAAATTTGAAAACACATTGTAAGGATTGTGCTGCAGTTACATATGATTCCAATAAAATTTAGGCCTTTTGTCATAACCTGGAATATCTAAGAAATTTAAGAAATCACTGCTCAGACTTACTCAACTGAAGAGTTTCAACACGGACGTCAAGATTGAATTTCTTGCATTGCTGGGCATTTTCTTGTACTTTTGCATTGTACACTGTCACAACAGTCATTGTTGCTTTTCCCTGTCCTGTTGCTTGCACGGTGAAACCTTGATTGAGCTTAGTCTGAAAAGTAACCAGAGTCAGCATGCCCTTTGTTTGAATGTTCTTTTTGTTTGTTTTATTCATTATTGCTGCTGTTCTATTCTTATTTTTTTATTACAATCTGCCACCAACGACCATGGATACATGTCATTTTATCTTTTATTGTATTTTAATTGAATTTAAATTGTTGTAAGCAGCCCAGAGACCTTTAGGTAGAGTGGGTGGCATATAAGTCAAACAAACAAATAAAGAAATAAAGAAATAGAGAAACAAACAAACAAACAAACAAACAAACAAACAAACAAACAAATAAATAAATTTTTTAGACCTTCCATATACATACACAGAATGATAAGTGGAATAGGTTGACTGAAGCTGCCACTATACTGGAAAGCCAAATAGTTCTAAACGGGAGCTTGATTTGGGTGTTTCAAGCTTCTGTTTGGAATAGGTGATCAGATAGAGATTGTGGATTCACTTGATGCCAGTGTCCATACTAGTCCCTCAATCTGATGTGGTTTGATTCACTCCACATACCACAGCCCCTCTTTCTTTGACCCTGCCCTCTGCCAATCCTGGCTTGCCTTTTATGGTTCGCTGTAAAGCTAATATAAACCATTGCATATGACAAGGGAAAAGAAACAGTTTCCCAAAGTTCTCTATACAGTAATGTACAAACACATACACATGTACAGTGGAAAAATAGAAGTCTTCTATAGTTCATTGGAGTAGCTTTTATTTAATATCATTTAGTGCTAAACTAGTCTATCAATGTAGTAATAAGGTGACCTGATTCCTTAACTTTGTAGTTTGTTTTTTTAAAAATTAAAAGAAATACTTTAGGTGACTAGGAAGAAAGATCACAAAGGTGGGTGCTCCTGCTGTCTAAAACATCATGCCCAGCTTAGCATGTCACCAAAATACCACCCAGAATCATGCCCCCTATCCTTTTGGAGAAGGAAACAACTGATCACATAGGGAAAAGTCTGTTCAATTCATTCCAGCTTGAAAAAAGTAGTGACAGAAAGGAAAACTACATCAGGAGCAAAAATAGTGGGATTGATTTGAATTGGACTTTACATTGTGTGAATGGTGAAAAAAAGTCATCAGTTTTATACCCATAGCAAATCCTACAATATTTGGCTACGTAGTCACCAAACTACCTGCAAGAGAAGTAAAAAAATCAAACAATATATTTATATGGTAGTTGTTCAGGTAGCCTGACATCTCTTTTAACGTGTTTCTAGGTGTACATCTCTACTCATAAACCTGCTGTGAAAGGGCTTGAAACATGAAGGCAGGGCTAGACAACCTCCAGGTATGTCAGAGCCACAGACAACCCATCCATGGACCCTGGGGGCTACACCCTCTCCCCAATTCCCCACACTTAAATAAAATCTTGCAAAAACTGACTCAAAACTGATGTTAGATCAATAGGTTCCTTCTGTGACTGCATGGACATTTCAGAATATTCCAGAGCCTAAAAATTCCATTAATCCACACTTCTTTCTTTCCACATGCTCCCTACCTTCCCATTAATCCTCAGTTTCCCCAATCTGCTGCTGATAAAGACACCTGTATGGCAGACCAAGGGGAGGCTGGGTGGGTTGTGTGAATTCACAGGTGACCACTTGAAGAACCACCCTTTTCACTCTTCATGGTCTAGGTCAGCGAAGGTGAACCTATGGGACACGTGCCATAGCTGGCACGCAGAGCCCTCTCTGCTGGAAC